AAAATTAGGAGTAGTTACTGCAATTAGCCCTCGAGTAGCTTTGTGCGAAAATCAACAAACAAATTTAATATTGAGACACAAAAAAATCAATCACTTATTACCCGCTATTACCTACAGTTCAATAGCAAATAATTATTTTACAATAGTAATTAAAATGTCAAATACATTAAATAATCAAGTTATAACACACGTTTATACTAAAACTTTCTTCTTCTTTTCAATTCGCAACGCTTGGAGCACATGTTGTTTGTTTTACCTATTGATGAACTTCCGCACGAAACGCCACCACACAATAAAAAATAAACGAAAACAGTTTACAGATGAAAAGATCACAAAGACATTACTCTTTTCTTGGAAAATTCATTAAATGTTAAAGAATGTTTTTTTGTTGTTATTTTTCGGACGAGTCGTGAGCACGTTGCGTTTCTGTTGAAAGTTCTTGTTTTTTTATCAACTGCAAGGTTATACAAAGGGCTATCTGTGCTCTGCCCACCACGGGTATCGAAACCCGGTTTCTAGCAGCATAAAGTCCGCAGAAACACCGCTGTGCCACTGGGGGCTGCTTTTGGAAATGTTCTTTATATGTTAGTCTTTCTTTATGTTTAGAAATATTTATAGGGTAGAATTTTTTACCTAGAAGTAAAATTAAAAGTTTACCACAAGAATACTGATTTTATCAAGGTTTCTAAGAACACAGTTTACATTTGAAAACTATGATTTTTACTATAACTTCCTTTCTAAATGTTCACCAACGTTTCAGATTTAAAAAAAATTAAACTGTAAAACCGGAGTTATTTGTGTTTAATAATAAAAGGTTTTTTTTTCAAACATACGTCTTTACAGTGAATAAACGTGACTGTTTCTTTGCACTTTTAAACCTTTTCTATCTTTAGTTTCTCTTTCTCGTTTTCTGCACGTCTCACCAACGTGAACGACTATCGCTTTCACATACCGTTAGAGGACGCTTTAAGGCACTCCAGGCCAAAGTGCAATGGAGCCTTCCGAACACTAAAGGTCTGAACTAATGTGGCGGAATCCATTGACTCACTGATCCAAAGTCTGGTGCACCAAACCCTAAGCCACACCAAGCCAAGACTTAACTAAATTTCATTAAGTCTTTTACTATCGAAATAAACAATGTTACCAATAATAAAGATATCTTAATGTTTCTGTATACTAGTTATAAGAAACTTTCTGGTTTGAAAGTTCCTTTTTGTTACACGTTCCGATGGAACACCAATAGAGACTCATCATGTGTGTCTATATATGTCCTCCCGGTGGCCGAGAGGTATGCGTTAGGCTTGTAACGCCAGAATTTGAAGTTTAATCCCTGTGGAGGACATAAGTGCCGACACAACGCATCATGTAGTTTTCTGCTAATACAACCATGTGGTTGCATTAACAAACATTAGCTGAAGCTATCACAGCCTGTTAGCTTATTTAAGAACATTAATTATTAACTTTCTGTGTAAACCATCTTTCACAGTTGATAAAGAACAATATTGGTGCCTCTCAAGTTACAGTATTTTACTCATACTTCCCAGGTATTAGCTGATATGTTTTATTATGATGAGAAGAAATAGACAACAGGAATGGGGACGCATACATCCCCCTCTAAAGCACTGCCACGTGAGTTTGGAGTTTTATTCCACCATTATTGTCCCTTCAAACGTTTTAAAGTTTACCATTTTCGAGTTTCCGATAAAATATGTATCACTCAAACATGTATATGCTTGTTTTTAATTGTGTGTCGAGAAATAAGTCTAGCACTGGGAGAGTTGTTTATCTTAAAACATGCAAATGTAAAGCAGTTAGGCTTAGATTCGTATCAGGCTATGATATTATATATATAACACATCGGTTTTCTCTATACAGACAATTTTACATGTTATTGGATAGTCTCTATTTTCACTTTTCAACACTTCATACTCTTCAGATGATTTTCCCTCATAACTAGTAAAAAATTTAGATGTTTTTACTAAAAAATCTATCTTGTCAGGATGAAGTGTAGCTGCAATCAAAGTTGTGATAACACAGACCTCCGAAGTTAAACTTCATAAAAGTTGTTTTGGTTTTAATAACGGAATCTCCATAATTCAGCTACGCAGACTTCGAAAATAATATTCTTTTTTTTTCTCTCACGCAAGGTTTTTTTACAAATCGGATAGAAAAAAAAACTCTTACTTAGATCAAATTATTATTTCGTTTACCACAATGAATTTTTTTATTATTATTATGTTTGTAAACAAAAATACAAACAAACTGAGGAAAAGGGAAGAACATTGATGAATATGCATCCTCATTCATCCTGATTTTGTTTGTGAAATCTACGTCTTTTAGTCTCAAAACTACGTGTTGTGGTCTTTCTTTTATGTATTACGTTATGACGTTTTGTGAAAAATCTGTTCGCGATGGAGAAAAAAAATGGATGTCATTTTCGGATTCAGTGTACAGGAATTACATGTAAAAATTTCAAGACAATAAAACCATCGTAGGCCTATTTAATTTTATCTCAACTCTGATACATTTATATTTTCATTTTGTGCTCTTTTTTTTTCATTTCAACTACGTATAAGCTGACCTTTAACCTTACCAAGTGGAAACAGACTAACCCTATCACTCTCCCCAGAGTTATAATAAAAATAAGTAAGTCGGATTGCCCCACAGTAGCACAGCGGTATGTCTGCGAACTAAAAATGCTAGAAACCAGGTTTCGATACTCGTGGTGGGCAGAGCACAGACAGCCCATTGTGTAGCTTCGTGTTTAACTATAAACAAACAGTAAGATGGTTGGAAAATTTTCAATAAAAGAAACAAAGTGGTACCTACATCAGTCTGTGTTCGAATTTCTTACAAAGAAGGAAGCGGAAACACTGGTTCTGAGAACTCATTTGAATAAATATGATGAATTCTGTTACTCACTGTAATTATAAAATTCATCTTTCCGCCTACAGGTTGTTCTCCAAAAATTAGTGTCACTAAAAATAATCTTGGTATTGCATTCCGTTTGATTATGGGCCGGCTATTTAGTGTAGAACATAAATATATTTTTAACAAAATATATCAAATTATTTTAACAATGAGCCTATATTATATTTTATCCTTATACTTTTATTATAAAAATTGTTTTAATTTGTTGGCTTAATATATGTATTCAACCCTAACCTAAATCTCCTAAGCTGGCCGAACATCGTGAGATATTATTAGGATTACGACCGAAAATATATCGCTAACACTGAGAGTACCGAACTGATGAAACAATTCATTCTAATCATTATAAATAATAACGTAGGAAAATTATATTTAATTATCAACATCGAGTTAAATTTTAGTTTCGATCTAAGTAATAACAAATTATCATTTTCTAAACCTACCAGGATTCAATTCGACAATCAAGAGGTGTTTATTTGAATATATTGTTATGTGCTTGAAGATTGACCGAAAGATGTAGGCGTACCATACATAAAGAACTTGTGTATCTCTATAGAGAACGTTTTATGTTTTGTAAAGCACTAAATATGATCAATTTTAAATGTTTTTCTTTTTTTTAACAGTTTATTGCTCTATTTGTTTATGCTATCTGTGCTCTGTACAACGCATATATCGAAACTAGACTTTTAACGATAAACTTTATGCTTAGAACACAGATTCAGAATTCAGTTGGGTTGGTCGTGGCCTAGTGGCTAGCATACCGGACTACGAATCCTACCCTGCCTTAGGTCGCCAGTTGGATAACTCTCGCTGTTAGCGGTGTTTTCGGCCTTTAACCCAAGAACACCTGTCGAGGTTAGGCCTGATTAGCGGAATTACTAAGCACCAAAGCAGATAGTCACATGTAGTGTTTCATGTATCATGTCTATCATATTGTTACGACAGCGGAAATCATGCGACGCTGGGAGCATGAGCGTTGGAGTTTCTAGAAGGATCATGACTTATCGGGGAACCTCGCGAATGTCCCAGTGTTTGCTATACGCCCTCTTTATTAGTATATAAGATAGAATTGCATAGATAGATAAATATATAGAGATA